TTGTGGTTGTGTTTAAAAAAAAAAACTTGTAGATCTTCACAGATGAAATGATAAAGTACCTGGGATTTAATTCAATATAAAATAGGAACGGGGAAAAGGGGTGGGGGTATAGATGAAGAAGATTGGTCATTAGTAGAAAACTGTTGAAACCAGAGGGTGGGTATGTGGAAGTTAACAGTAACAAAACCGAGTTACTTGTGTCAAACTCCTAACCAAACTGGGAGTAGGGGAGGTCATAAAGAAGAGATCCACGTGCTTACATTCTGGAAATACCTTCACATCTTGTTTGTATCCTGTACTCAGAATTTATCTCAGGAACTTCCCCAGCCTTCAGCCTTTCAGATAAGATGCGCTGACCAGAACAGTTGCCTACCAAGTGTTACCTCCCCCAGTGAGCTCTGTTTCAAAACGGTTTGCATGGACTTCTTCTCTTTGTCTTTAAAAACTCCTCTTTTGTCCTAATTGTCCTCAGGTATGTGCTTGTGATTTTCATGATTTGAACACCCCAAGTAGTAACCCTTTTCTATTCCCCCCCAAAATCTTTTGTTCTAGAGAGCTTCTCTCTCTGAGGTTTTAAGTTGACAGGTATATGGGTTCGTTATATTGCTTACTTTTGCAAAGTTTGGAATTTTCCATGGTAAAATTATTTTTAAAAATAAACAGTATACAGCACAGCATTTTTATGAAACAAAACCAATGTCTCAACCCTTTTTACAATACAGCTAATTGCGTGGGAATTCTTTTTGATCTCTGCAACTAGTTCAGTCCCCATATCCATTCAATCACCAAGTCATGTTGATTCTCTTAATTGCCACTTCTTTCCATTTACTTTTGAGATAAATTTGGCCTGTGCACAGTGTACTTCTACTTGTGCCTACTGTAAAACAGTAGCCAGAGTGGTTTTTCTTTTTAAACCTAAGTTTGATCACACCTAGTCCTTTGTTTAAAATTTACTAATGGCATCTCATTGATCACAGAATAAAGGCTAAAATACTCAATATGCAGTGAAAGCCCTGCAGAATCTATTCTGATCCTGTGCTGTATGTCACCAGCTCCCTGAGTATGTGTCTGTGCTCTTCCTTGCCTTTCATACTCCAGGTACTTCTGAACTTACCATCGTTATTTTCAACTCAGAGCATTCACATATGCTGTTCCCTGTGCCTGGAATGTCCCCTTTCTCCTTACGCCTCATCTTTCAGACCTCACTTTAATTGCCACTTTCTCTGAGTAGCTTTCCCATTATTCTTGGTCTAGGTGAGGTCAAATATCTCACACTTTCATAACAATTTGTCACAACTGAAATTTTAAAATTGTTGAAATTGTTTGTTTAATGTCTATCTTTCCTGCTATAATATAATCTCAAAGAGAGAAAGAACTAGGTCTTATTATTGTACCCCCAGAGCTTAGCATCTCGCCTTGCACATAGTAGAAGGTCAACAAATCTTCGGTAAACTATAAATGACTGGCTTGATGAAGGAATAAATCAATTAATTTGAATATAATTCTGGTCAAATCATGAACAGAATTACCTGAACCATAATTATAAAATTACAGTTAAACTTAATGGTATCAATCATACCCCCAACAAAATATTGGCAAAGTGCAAATGTGTAGGTATACAAACAAAAAGAGGTAAAAAAATTAGAATGACTTCATTACATATCCAGGTTACAGTCCCTCACTAATACTCCAAAAGTGCTTAACAACAAAAGAATAGGGATGTGTCATAATACATCATTCACCTTTCAAAGGGCCACACATGTACCCAAATAAAAGTTCTGATACAAGCCCCAGGGATTCTCTGAAGGAGTAATAAAGACATATACCCAAAACTTTTACATTTACTGTATATGCAATTATTTAAAACTGGCTACATATATGGAGTGCACACAATCTCTTAACTCATAAAATCGGTAAATTTAACTAATCTATTCAAGCAAAATTAAAGCTTAAACATTTTCAAGATTAGATCTTCACAACTTTTAAAATTAATGAGAAAAAAAACTACAAACTCCTGAACCAAAATTTTATTGTAAATTATTAGAGTTTTAGTGTGTGAAAATTATTCATAACATATGACATATAGAGATGTTAGCACATTGAACTACAATAGAAAATATTTTTGTACAATTATTTAAATCACTAATATGCTTATTTTTCCTGTGAATGCAGTTTGCTCAAATCAACTTTGTGGAACATCAAGTAGGTTTAAAATTTTTATATTATTGTTTAATAACTTCCTAATAAGACTTCCAGTTTCTACTTGACCTACACATAATATTTTTTTCAATGTATTGAATACTGTAGTAGCTTTTTCTCTCATCTCTGGTGGAACGTATCTAATATCTAAATATTCATATAGTTTAGATCTAGAATTATACAGCATGTTAATAACAGTTTCGATGTCATCAATTTCATTACTGGTTTCTCCTAATGAAAATAAATGAGAGCTATACATTTTTTCTAATTTATGTTCTGCTGCTGCTGCTAGAGCAAGGCTTCGTTTTAGGTGCTCTTTGGAGGCTCGAATGTCTTCTTTAACTTGTGGGTTGCTGCTGTCATTAAGAAGTGCCTGTTGCACCTGTAAATTAATATCTGAAATTTTTTTCAGAATGTCATCATTATTCAAAATCTGCGAGTGTTTTTCCAATGTTGGTTCTTCAAGTTTTTCTATTTCAGTTTCGCCTGAGAGCTGAGGAACATCTTCTGATTCTGCAGTGATCTCCAAATCAGTGTTTCTACGGAAAGAGGTGACAGGTGATTTTCGTGAGGTGACATATGGACTTGCAGATGTTTCAGTAACAGTTGGTGACAATTTTCGTGCCTTAGTTTGTTTCATAACTGACTCTGGCTCTGGCTCTGGCTCTTCATTTTCAATATAAGGTTCTTTTGCACGTAAAACAACAGAAACGTTATTTGGTTTGATCGACCAGAATGCTGTACTTTTAGTGCGTTTTTTTCTCCCTACTCCCATTGTGAAGCCACTAGTAGGCAAAGGTGTAGTTTCCTCACTGACAGGATTGATTAAAACATCATTCTCAGGTGAAGCTTCTCCATGTGTAATTATCTCCTTTAATTTTGATAACTTCGACCCTCTAGAAAAAGCATTTTTTGGAGACTTTGATTTTTTCTCACGGCCTGGCTCCCTAGTGGGAACACTTAGTATTAGGTTCTCTAAAACTTGTACGTAATGATTCAAGTTTTGTTCTTCGTCAGGCGTCACAGTTATGCCTTAAGGGAAAAAAAAATCAAATAAATAATAAGTAATATTTATTACTATATATGACACATTGACAGAATCTACTGGCCTAAATTTATTTCATATGCTATCACTTAAAAATTGAGATAAAGAACCAAGAAGCAACACACCTCTGACATAGGGTCAATTCTCACTTAAATAAATACAATTATTTTTTCAGGTTCTTATTAAAAGAGACGAGCAAAACTAGTGCAAAAGCTGTGTATTAACACAATTCTCCATATTATTTTTTGCTCTTATTTTCCCATATACCTTATGATTCAACAGGCAACTTATTAAACCAAAATTCTTGATTATGTCCTCTAACACAGTGGTGTGCTGGAATAGGCTCATACTGGCTCACTAGAGCAAATTATTAAATTTTTAGGAATTCTATTAACCAGATGTTGAACACAGATCTCATTAAAAATTAAATTATCTAAAGTTTCAACCAAATCAAATTATATTAAAAACAAAGGTAATAAATATCCCAAACTCATCACATCCTGATTATTTTATTTTACTATTACCTATGCTCTTGAGGTTATTCATAGCGAGTGTACATGGATGATGCAGATGCAACATAATGGTGTGCTACCGTGCATGTCTTTCTGCCTCCCTTTTCAGTGATGTCAAATTAGCAGCTTGAAACAGACTGGTGGGAGTATTTACATCACGTAACTGAGCAAATGCTACAGATCAGGGTTTCCTCCTCTCTACCAAAAGCCAGTTTTACACATTTACCAGTATACTACTGCCTTCAACATAACAAAGATCAAACTAGTCTGTGGGTCATATTCACTCAATTGTTTCTTAAATAAAGTTTTACTAGAACCCAGCCAGTCTTGGGTTTATTGGAACCCAATCATTTGTTTATGTATTGTCTATGGGTGCTTTTGGCTGAAACAGTAGAGTGGTTGCAAGAGATCACATGGTCTACAAAGCTAAAGATACTATCTGATCCTTTACAGAAAAAGTTTGCCAATTCCTGGTCTAAATCATCAACACTTCACTTTTAACAACAAAATGGCAGTTCTATTTATACTGGTATTTTGCAGCATCTGAGTGGTAAAGCTTCTCATTATCCAATGTGGAGAACAGAAAAGATTATTGAATAAGATATTCTGGAATTCTGTTAAACTCTCCTACTCCTGAATCAGGGGTATTTTAAGTACAGGGGGTTTCGAATTACATGAAATTTTAAGTTGATTTTGCCATTATCATGGATAAAAAATGATTTAATTCAGGGAAGTAAGTCACTTTTTACCAAACTCTAAGGCACACTCCTACCTGAACCATCCCTCTGCAGGCTAAATAAAATAACAACTGTTCGGGAGGTGCTTTCATTCGGCTTTTTGGCAAGCACAAAATACTCAAAAATTGCTTTATATTTACATGTTTTTCCTCTCTTCTTTAACTATTCTGTTACAACTTAGAAAGACCAGATGGAAGTTGAATCAAAATTGAAAGCATATTTCTAAATTTTTAAAAATTCTTAAAGAGAACAGTTGAGTGAGGAGGTGTGGTAGTGGAAAGATACCAGACTTGTCTGGAGATTTAGATCCTAAAAGAAGGTTCTGCATTTTATGCCGCGCTTAGAAAAGCCTGTATACTCCAAGATCTGCACAATGGATGGTGGGTGAAAATGGAAGATACAGAACATAAAGGTAGATTTTGATATTATCCTTATAATAATTTTTATAAAATCACTCACATAGTATCATATATTTTGTCTGTGAATTGAAAATTTTTTAAAAGACTAGAACTCATGGGCAGTTGCCTCTGAGGAGAGAGGATGGGACTGAATTTGGTCATTAAAGGGGACTATAGATTTTATCTATAATGTTTTACTCCCTAAACACACACACAAACACACGCATACCCCCCAATCATTTAATACAGCAAACCATTAAAACTTACAATTATTTTTTATTTTTTTAATTTCAAGTAGTTTCTTTTATTCCCTTGTTTTTAACTGACAAGCAAAAATTACATAAAAGTCACATTTTAAAAAGGAAAATAACTTTTTTATGTATACTCATATTTATAAAATGCATGTCCTGAATCAGAGTTTTCTTAAACGAAAATATTGAGTAAAATGAATATGTAGCCTCGTGTAGTGAAAATAAAATCTTTGATTCTGGTCCTAGCTCTACCATTTCATAGCACCATGACCTTAGGTCATTACTAAATTTATCTGAACATTTACTTAACTATAAATTAATATACTATATTTGCCTTTCTATCTCACAGAACCAAATGAATTAGATGTTTAAAAACACTTTAAAAGCTACGGAGCACTAATAAGATAATATTATTCTCTATAAAGGTACCTGCTTACATTTCTCATTTTAAAATATAAATTTCCTTAAAAAAATATAGGAAATATAATGTTACCTAAAAATAACATTAAAAGTATGTTTTGGATCTTATTTAGTAACAAACAGTAGAAGTCTTTCTGCTCAAGACAGGAACAAGACAAGGATACCTAAAATCTCCATGACTATTTAACATGATGTTAGAGATACCAATCAATGCAATTAGACAAGGGAAAATAATTAGAGACATGAGAATTGGGAAAAAAGGGATAAAACTATCTATATACAGATGATATAAATCTAGACAATGTAAAAGAAATCTATTGAAAAGTTACTATAATTAGTAAGAATTTCATAAATAGCAAGTTATAAAAATCAACATACGAAAGTCAATGTATAAATATAAACTGGTTAGAAGATATGAGAAATAAGATGACATTTAGATAACAAAAAAAATGAAACAAAATATCTAATCATAGATTTTTAAAAACATGCCCAAAATCTATATGAGGAATTACAGTAGGCTAAATAATGAACACGCAAAGATATCACCCTAGGACCTATAAATGTTACCTTATAAGAAAAAAAGGTCTTTGCAGATGTGGTTAAATTAAGGATCTTGACATGGGGCAATTATCCTAGATCTGCGGTCCCCAACCCCTGGGCCATGGACCACTACTGTTAGGAGCTGGCCACACAGCAGGTAAGCAGTGGGTGAGCAGGCAAAGCTTCATCTATATTTATAGCCACTCCCCAGCTCCCCATCACTAGCATCACCACCTGAGCTCTGCCTCCACCCACACCACCCCCACCCCCGTCCACACAAAAATTGTCTTCCATGAAACTGGTCCCTGGTGCCAAAAAGGTTGGGGATCACTGTCCTGGATTATCTAGGTAGACTCTAAATCTGATCACAAATGTTCTTATGAGAGAGAGAGAGAGAGAGAGATGAGACATGCATGGAAGAGGTAGTGTGGAGGGAGGCAGAGATTAGACTTGATGTGGCCTCAAGTCAAAGAATGCTAGCAACTGCCAGAAGCTGGCAGAGGCAGGGAACATAGTCTTCCCTTTAGCTTCCTGAGGCAGCCTATATACCTTCATTTGGGCTCAGCGAAACTGATTTCAGACTTCTGGCCTCTAGAACTGTGAGTGAATAAACTTCTGTTGTTTTAAACCACTAAGTTTGTGGTAATTTGTTATAGCAGTCACAGCAAACTAAACAGAAATACAATAAAATCTTTTGAAAGACATAATGTAAACTTCGGCAAATGGAATGATATCCCATGTTCTCAGACAAGAAAATTCAACATCATAAGGATGCTTAGATGTCATATTCTCACTGTTAATTCATGCATTTAATATGCTCCTAAAATTACCATTAATCTTTTTCTGGAATTAGTAAAATTGATAGTGAAGTTCATTTGGAAGAATAAGAACAGCCAGGAAAACAAAGGCTATCCCTACCAGATATTAAAATATATTATAAAGCCTCTATTATACAAATAGTATAGCATTGGCACATATCTAGACTAATGGAAAAGAACATAAAATACAGAAGTAGAACCGACTGCATATGGAGAAACAGCTCAAATGGAAGGAAGGGTTCAATTTAAAAACTATTCCAGCTAATAAAGAAGCCATTTATAATTAAACTATGATCATTTTGCCTTCTTTTGATCAAAAAAGGCATAAAAGAATAGTATTCTTTTATGCCTATATCATAAAAGAATACTCAATAAGACATTATGTGCCTTCTGATGAAAGAACACAATACCACCTATAAATTAGTCTTTCAAAAATAAGTCATACCTGAATCCAATAGGTCTTCCTAGATTTCACTAGCAATATTCAGGAAACATACAGAACAACAAGGAAAATATTCAACTATGCCATGTGGATGTAACTAGCGAAATCTAGACTGTGGGAAACTAAAGAACGTATGACCCAGTTTCTTCAACAATTAAATTGCAAGGAGAAAAACAGAGATGAAAGAAGAATATAGATTAAAAGGGAATTAACAAGTATATCAATGAATTACATATATAAATCTTTTATTTGAATCCCAATTCTGTTAAACAAACTGGAAAAAAGAGACAATCAAAAAAGTTTGAACACTGAGCAGATATTTGATGATATTAAGGAACTATTATCTTTTTAGTATAAAATTGTATTGTTTTTAAAAGTATATACCTTATATTTTAGTGCTTCATACTGAAATATTTACTAATGAAACTGTATGATGTCTAGAATTTGTTTTTTTTTAAGAGACAGGGTCTCATTTTGTCACTCAGGCTGCAGTGCAGTTGTGCAATCATAGCTCACTGCAGCCTTGAACTCCTGGGCTCAAGTGATCCTCCTGCCTCAGCCTCCCTAGGAGCTGGGATTACGGGAGCATGCCACTGCACCTGGCTAATTTTTTTATTTTTTGTAGAGATGGGGTCTCACTATGTTGCCCAGACTGGTCTCAAAACTCCTGGCCTCAATTGATCCAGATTCTCAGGGGAGGCAATGAGCCACCACGGCTGGCTCAGAATTTGCTTCTAAATAATCCAAGCCCCCAAACCTGGGGTGGAGGAGTCAGAGAGGTGAGAGGAAAAGGAATATGGGTGGAGTTAATTCAATGAAACAAGATTAATCATGAGTTCATAATAGTTGAAGCTGATTATATGGAGATT